ATCAGTCTCAACTAATAATGTAATATTTAGGGATTACCATTATTCCCTAAATATTACATTATTATCAACAACCATATTCTTCCTATGATTGTCTTGAGCCCAAATTGTAGCTTCTCTTGCTCCCAACGCTTCTAACGAGTAACGACGTTCAATATCCCCTTAGCTTCTTCCCTCCCATGGCTTGCCATTAGAAACTGCTTATTACTGTCTCTACCAACCCACTCCAAAGCCCATCTACTTGCTTGAACTTTTCTAGCTGCATCCACATTAACTTTAACCTAAGTTTGTTTTTGTTTTTTGTTTTTTTGTTTTTTTGCATTTTGACTCCCCCTCTCCATCTACAGGTTCTTGGCCCTCGATCATGCAAGTGCATGGAATGCTCTCCAGCTTGCCAAGGTCGAGGCAGCAGCTAGCCTCACACCTGCAGTGAAATTTCCCCCTAAAACTTGAGAAACCGACTTCCTCCCAAATTCCCAAAACACTAGAGAATTTTAAAAAAAGGTGAGAAGTTGTATCAGCCTCAACTTTACACAAAGGGCATTCACCAGCAAATAGAAGAAATCTCCTTTGCAACATGTCACCCAGAGGTAGTACGCCTGAATTGAAGTCAATTGCCAGAAAAAAGACTTTTCGTTTTGGAGATAAATTACAGTGCCAAATAGCAGTCCAACTGTTAGGAATAAATGCACAGAACACAATAATAATAAGAACACACGAAATTTGGTAACCCAGTTCGACACGAATGACTACGTCTTGGGGCGCTACCAAGTCAGGATATTGCTGTTAATTTTCGGATCAATGATTACAAGGAGAGAAATTGTGTTTATAGAGAGTAAAACCTAACCCATAATAGAATAGGACGCGCGCGGCCCACAAGAGTACAAAAAAAACTCACGGCCCATCATGAAAGGACCCAAAAAATTTCGAGTTAGTTATACAGTCTCTAAAAAAATTCGGGTTAGTTGGATCGACGGAATAAGCTTGGTTATACAGTCTCGAAGCTCCCTAACCGATCCTCAGTAACAACTACAAACCGTATATCTTCCTCTAGCATCATCACTTCACCGGAAACCAACATTGATCGGCTGCCAAGTTATAGCCTTTGATTCATCTGCTGTGAAAATGGCCGAGGGTAATATTCCAGGCCTTGCTGTCCTCACTCCTCACTCAAAAGTCACTCCTGGCCGAGATGACCTAATTACACCCGTCCCCTTCGAAACCGAGATGTTCTTGCCACTAACAACTCTTCGCCTAGCACCATATAAATGAAGGGGTACTACCGATCTTAGCTTCAGCAAAAGAATTCTTGGTATAATATTTTGCTTTAAGAACTTTACCAACCAAAGAGTGCGGCTCAGTCAACACTTTCCATCCCAACTTTTGCAACATTGCTGTTTAAACTCTCAAGGCATTTAAAGCCCAAACCTCCATGTGGTTAAGGCATACACAAAGCCCTCCAATTCTTCCATCTAACTCCATAGAAGTGAAGTCATTGCCTTTTCACCAATACCTGTTCATAAGTCTCAATTTCTAAAATCAACTCATCTGGTAGAAGAAAGACGTTCATGGCGTAGTAACTATTAAGACCCGGGGTCCATCCTAAAAGATCAACCTGATAGGAGGAGTAGCCCATGTGTTAATATAGCACTTTGTTCATCCAAACGTTTCCGGTGTGTGACATTTAACACCCCTCTCACGACCAGACACTTCGTCGGGATCGTGCCATCATTCATTTTTCATTTTTTTTTCAGCGGTCCATTTTTTTTATCCGGCCGTTTTTTATAATCGTGTCATCATTTTTCATAAGGGGTAAAGGGGTTTCATCCTAAAAGGTCAACCTGATAGGAGGAGTAACCCATGTCTTAACATAGCACTTTGTTGATTCAAACTTTTCCAACATAGGACTCTAACACCCCTTCTCACGACCAGACACTTCGTCTGGATCGTGCTGTCATTCATTTTTTCATCGGTTCGTCATTATCATTTTTTTAAAAATCGTATCATCATTGTTCATAAAAGGTCAACCTGATAGGAGGAGTAGCTCATATCTTAATATAGCACTTTGTTGATTCAAACTTTTCCGGTGTAGGACTCTAACACCCCTCCTCACGACCATACACTTCGTCTGGATCGTGCCGTCATTCATTAATTTTTTTCATCGGTTTGTCATTATCATTTTTTTTAAATCGTATCGTCATTGTTCATAAGGGCGCCCACACCATGGATCGATTTGTCTCTGATAACATGTTAAGACCCGGGGTTCTATCCTAAAAGGTCAATACTGATAGGAGGAGTAGCTCATGTGTTAACCTATAATTTCTTTAACAAGTACGATAGTACTTCGCTATGGTACCCAAGAGCTTCTTGAATTGTTTATGGATTAATGCATTCAACCTTCACTAACAATAATAAAGAAAGAAATAAGGACATGACGAATCTACTTGTCTCGGGCCAATAAGTCAATAACTAACTTGTCATTAACTATAAGAAACAAAATTAATTTAAAAAATATAATGACATATTTTACTTTTCATTTCATCTAAAAATATCTTTATAATCCTTTTAAAAATTCTATTTATTACTTATGTGACCTGACATTTATAGTACTCCCCCTTGTCCCAAAATGATTTCGGACACCAACTTTTCTTGATTAACACGGTTTCATTTTATTTACATATTTAATTACGTAGCATTTCAATGTAATTTTCAAATATGTAAGTTACTTTTCTTGATTAACACGGTTTCATTTTATTTACATATTTAATTACGTAGCATTTCAATGTAATTTTCAAATATGTAAGTTTTTTTGGAAAACCAAATACGTAACTTTTAAGTAGTAAAACTAATTTAAATATATGCATGAATGATTTGATTTTTTCATTATTCAACCTCCACTACAAAAAACAGGCCTGTAGTCACGGATTTTAATCACGAATTCGGTTCGTGACTAGTTTGTCACGGACTAGTCACGGATTAAAAAAATAGTCACAGATAAGTCCGTGATTCATTCAACAGAACCACACCAACTCATTCCCAGTATATAATACAATATCTGTTTGAAAGATCGAAGGATGTAGTCTATCTTATGTCATTTTCCCTGTTTATGCAGATAAGGTATGTTATTTGATTTTTTATAATTAGAATTAGTTGGTTCAATTTAAATAATTAGAACTATTAAATTAGTGAGGTTGTTAATTAATTAACAGTACATTTAACTATAAACGTAGTGATGTCATAAAATTAGTTAAATTTTTAGGTTTATAAAATAATTTCATTAAAATTAGTTAGCTAAACGTAGGTTTAAACGTAGTGATGCATTAAGTTAAATTAAGTAAAATTAGTTAGCTAAACGTAGGTTTTAACTAATTAAGTTAAATTAATTAGTTAAATTAGTTAAACTTTTGATAATATTAGTTAAATTTAAATATTAGTTAATTGAAATGTGTTTAAAAAAGGTTTTTAACTAATTAAAGAAATGAATTAGTTAAAATTAGTTAAACGTAGGTTTAATTTAAATGTAGTGTTAAATTACTTAAATTTATTATAATATCAGTTAAATTTAAGTATTAGTTAATTCCTAAATTAGGATTTGTAATGGGTTAAGTTTGGATTAAAACATTACTTAGATTTTGTGAATTATTATTGTGAATTATGTGAAGTTCATTTAGTTTAGAATTGTTTCTTGTGTATTATTAATTAGATTTTGATAATTTTAGTATTGTGAATTACATTTAATTTAGTAAATTGTTTATTGTGTATTATTAATTAGATTTTGATAATTTTAGTATTGTGAATTACATTTAATTTAGTAAATTGTTTATTGTGTATTATTAATTAGATTTTGATAATTTTAGTATTGTGAATTAATGTCATTAATGTATTGTTTGTAGTTTAATAATATTAATTGGATGTTAGTTAATTTTAGTGAAATTTAGTGAAATTTAATAAATAAATGTTCCTAAACATATCAAATTATTGTTAATGCTTATGAATTACTGCCATTAACGTAATAATTTAGTGTATTTAGTGTTAAAACCCTAATATTGATTATTTAGTGTTAATGTATTGATTATTAGTTAATAATTTAAATGATTAATGTCATTAACGTATTAGTAGTTCTAGTTAATTAATAATATTAATTGAACGTTATCTAATTGTAGTGAACTTTAGTAAAATTGAATATAGTAATGCTCCTACATATGAATTAGTGAAAATATTTAACATAACAAATTGTTGATAATGTTTATGATTTAATTTTTTTAACCAATATATTTTTTATTATTATAATATTCAGGCATAATGTATAGGCAAAATAGAAGTTGGATGTATGATAAAAATGCGGTATTGTACGGAATGAAAACAAATTTCCTTTATGGATGTGGGGAGTTTATTAAATTTGCACTTGAACACCTGGATTATATGAGTGGTGATAAAATCAGATGTCCATGTTCAAAGTGTAAAAATCTCAAATTTAAAGACCCAGACGAGGTTGGGTGGGATTTGTACGCGGACTGTTTTGTTCCCAATTATTATAATTGGACTTCTCATGGCGAACCTTTGGATCCATCTCTCGCTCCACGAACGGTAGGTTCGTTTCGTAACGTCCCTAACGAGATGAGTGGGTGGGGAGACCGTGATCAAATGAGGTGGGACCAAAGAATGGTATATGATGCATACGGTCCATCGATGTCTCAGTTCAACCCCCACAACCATCTAACGATCCTCCTGAAGCCTCGACCTCGTATCAACCAGCTGCAGATGAAAATCCGATAATTTATCAACCTTATGTGGATGGAGGTTTAGCTGAGAGATTTCAAGATGTTTTAAAAGCTGCCGATCAGCCTCTGTATGCTGATTGTGAGGGATACTCTCAGCTATCCGCCGTTAGAGAGTTTATGAACATAAAAGCTGAATACAATCTCCCTGAAACTTGCATGTCTAGAGTTTTGTAGTCAGTAGGAGGAATGTCACCGCGTGAACATAGCCTTCCTGATTCATATTACGACATGAAGCAATTAATATCTAAGTTGGGGCTTCCTTGTATAGAAATTGATGCGAGCCCTCGAGGATGTATGTTGTTCTGGAAGGATGATGGGGCACTTGAGATCTGCAAGTTCTGTGGTGGAGACATATACAAACATGTTCCTTAAAGACGAAAGAAACCACGATATAGGTCTGCATTATCTAAACTGTTTTACCTCCCAATAGCTCCACGAATGAAGAGGATGTACGCTTCGACTGCTACTGCGAAACACATGACATGGCATGTCGAGCACGAAACCAAAGAGGGTATGATGTCATCTCACCCTTCGGACTGTGAAGCTTGGAGACACTTTGACCGTTGTCATCCTCAGTTTGCAATGGAGCCACGAAATGTGCGACTCAGATTGTGTTCAGACGGATTTTCTCCTTTTGGAAGGTTTGGGAAGAACTATTCATGTTGGCCGGTCATGATAACTCCTTACAATCTCTCTCCCGACATGTGCATGAAAAGTCATTTCATCTTTTTTACTTTAATTTGTCCGGGTCCCAAGGATCCAGGAAAAAAAAATAGACATTTATCTCCAACCCCGTATTGAGGAGATGAAAGAATTATGGGCCATTGGGACACGAACTTATGATATTTCAACAGATCAAATGATTACCATGAAAGCTGCCATCATTTGGACCATTAGCGACTTCCCTGCCTATGGTATGTTTTCAGGATGGAGCACACACGGTCTTATGGGATGTCCGATATGCATGGAGAAGTCAGGGGCCAATTGGCTCACTTTCAGTAAAAAACCAAGTTACTTTGATTGTCACCGCAAGTTTCTCCCGGAAAACAACCGATATCGAAAGGACAGGAAGTCTTTCATTAGAGGTAGAGTGGTACGAGACACCCCACCCCCGAGATTGACTGGCGAAGAAATTTTTAACCGGGTTTGACGTATTCCTACGGTTGTGCAAGAGCCAAATCAGGAGCCATATGGGTATTGTGATACCCATAAGTGGACAAAGAGGAGTATATTTTGGGAGTTACCATATTGGAAAGACCTTCTCATAATCTCATTCGTCACAATATAGATGTCATGCACACTGAGAAGAACGTCTTTGACAATATATTTAACATGGTGATGGATTTCAAAGGGAAAACTAAAGACGGTCTTGCATCAAGAAAATATATGACAATGTGGTGTGATAGACCCGAACTTTCTGTTGATCCAGAACAAACTAAAAACGAAATTCCAAAAGCAGTCTACCAAGTCATAGAAGACCAAAGTGCATCAATATTAGAGTGACTTGTGTCTCTGAAGTTTTTAGATGGCTACTGCTCCAACTTGTCCAGATGCGTGGACATTAACAAACAGACAACGACGTCGAGCATGAAAACTCACGATGCTCATGTAATCATGCAAAGACTTCTGCTGATTGCACTGAAAGAAATGCTTCCTGAACACGTATGGTCCTGTATTACTGAAATAAGTTTGTTGTTACAGTCGATATGTTCCAGCGTTTTGGATGAAACATCCCTCCGTAGACTAGAAGAGTGTGTTCCTATTCTAATGTGTAATTTGGAAAAAATTATGCCTCCAACGTTTTTCGATGGAATGGAACATCTTATAATACATCTTCCGTATGAGGCTCTGATTGCTGGGCCCGTCTTCTATCGTTGGATGTACAGATTTGAAAGGTTAGTCACAATTTCATTTATCTTTGAATATTTATTTCATAAGAACATTTGTTTGTTAACAATTTTTATTTTACATTGCAGATTTCTAGGAGAGTTGAAAAAGAAAGTGACCAACAAGGCACACGTTCAGGCTTCAATTTGTCAAGCGTATATTCGACAAGAAATCTCAACGTGCTGATCTTTTTATTTTGAGCGTGAGGTCATAACTAGAAGAAAGAGACCTGTCCGGAATGATGACATTGGCGAGGATTTATATGAAAATGTAGTTTCCATTTTCAATTACCCAGATAGAGGTAAAGGAGCTGCGACTCACCGTTACATCGTGGGTGAAGAATTAAAAATTTCACATACTTACATCCTCATGAATTGTCCAGAAATCATACCATTTTATAAGTAAGTTAAATTGGTAGTTATATTTGTAATATATCTAGCTACAAGGTAGTTAATTTATAATATTTTCATGTTTGACTTCACAGTGAATTTAGAGCTTCTTTATCAGAATTCCCTGATAATGAAATTGATGGAATGATGGACTCTCACTTTGCAACATGGTACAAATATCAGGTGTATATATATATATATATATATATATATATATATATAAACACACATTATATATATTATTAAGTAATATTTTTTAATAATTACCTAATGTTATCATGTTTTTATTTACAGATCGATAGCCGTGGGATTGTCGACCCTCTGTTAGTATCATTTTTTTTTTTTCGATAACATGTAAGTATATTAGAAATCGAAAAAAATAGCATTTTACAATGCATCAAATCCAAATCAAAATGACTATCTATGCTAGAATAAACTAACCTAGATATAATGCATCAAAATAATGGGACAGACCCCACCTCACAAATTATACAATCAAAGTGCATATCCCAATGCACGGGATATCACAAAATCAAAAACTCATAGTCTCTCAAATCCAAGATTTGGACCAATAAAATCAAACAAAAACTAACTTCAACAAGTTCCTAATCTAAACATCCAAAGAAAGCCCGGAAAGGAGTAGTGAACTTAGCATCAAAACAAACCTCCCCTTTCTTCTTTGTAACTCCCGGTAATCCCTCTAGACATCTTGCAGTGAAAGTTAAGCCCTTTTTATCCAAATCGTCCGTGAGTCGAAGGGAAGTATCCACTCGAATCACACTAGCCCGCACAAATCTGAACGGTTTGACAACCAACTTGAGTGTCTTACCGTTAACCATCTCACATTTGATGACGACATCATGTTGGTGCAAATCACTCTCATCCGTAACTACCCTCTCAATATCTTCCAAAGCGGCCACGAATTGTTCATTTGAGCTTTTCACAACTTCTGGACACCATTGGGCAACCTGGGAATCAGACTGCCGTTTAAACCCGGTCGGGTTTGTGGCTGTCCCGGTCGGGTTTTGCCCCTGGACAGTCGGGTGGATCTCCTGGGCAGATTCTGTCAGACTGGATTGGGCAGCGGGTTCAACAGTTTCCACAATTTCCGCAGGTATGTTTTCCTTTCCCCCAATTTTTATTTGTTCATCTTCAGCTTTCTCACTTGATTTCCCCGTATCATCGTCCCTTTTTGCTAGCTTATTGCAAATAAACGGGTGGTGCCCATATATCTTACAATGGAAGCAAAAATTTGGGAACGTTTCATACACCACAAATTGTTTAACTACCTTCCGGGATGGTAGTCGAATAGGAAATGAAAGTGGCGGTGGCTTCGAAATATCAACTTCAATAAGCACTCTAGCAAAGTGGTGATTAGACCTATCATGTGTGACTTTGTCCGTAGCCAATGGGACACCAACCATGGATGCAATCTCACTCAAAGCATCCTCATTCCAAAGTTTCAAGTGTAAGTTAGGGAATTTAACCCAAATAGGTACTTTGAGAAACTCTTCATCATCAAAGGAAAAATCATCCGATAGTGCTTTTAACATAAGTAGTTTCCCAAAAATGGTGTAAGGTCCCTCTTTCAACACTTTTGTCCTATCATCCTCACTTTGAAATTTAAATATAACCCAACCCTTATCATGGGGCTTAATAATGCACTTAACACCCCATGTGTTCTTCAAATCATAAATCGCTTTTAGACCGGGAAATTTTCCGGTGAAACAACCGACTAAACAAAAACCCCACATTTCAACCATACTAGGCATAATTCTATCGGAAAAGTCAATGATAGTGCCACTAGGCGGGATATACCTCAATTTAAAGCCATTCGAGGGTGCCCGATTGTCCTTAAAAAGGGAGGACCAAGGAGTAGCAGTCCCTGAGCTAGCTGCAGCAGTTGGAATTGTCTGCACGATATTAGCAGTAGAAATCTGCCCAGGTAGATTAGGAGAAACCATATCCCCTGCCATCTTAGCATTATCAGTCTGCATCCCATTTGTTCCAAATGGCTGGGTATTACAGGTACCAACAACAGTATTGTTTCTCCCAGATTTTGTTTCAGCAGACCTCAGAACTTCAGAGTTCAAAGCAGGGAAATCTTCCTTCATGGTCTCCAGCACAGTGAACTTAGATGACCTGGTGGTTCTTGTCGTGGAAGCTTCCCCCATCCCCTGTTTCGTTCTTGTCATGGTATCCAAGAAGATGAAACTACCCACAAATACTGCTCCAGAGATCACTCTCAAGGTAGGATTCGCTCCAAAAGCAAACCAAAGAACGAAAGCAGTGAACAAGTCGCTGAGAACGATGAACAGTGTCCGGAAACTGAGTTGCAGTTAAACGGACTTCCTTAACTCAAAACCAGGGTCAATATGTTCATCTAATGAAGATGAACACTAAATAGTCCAAAGAATCCAGAAACAAACACTTAGATCGACTCTTTTTACAGAAAGCAATTTCGCAGTAAACAGTCAGCGATTTTGCATTTCGATTTTGAGGTTTAGGTCGTGATTCATGGTTCTAACTTCAAAACCAGACTCGGATTTGAACTCAGGAGTGAAAAACGACCAAAAACCAACGGGAATCCGAAGTCCAAATATCGGCAATGCGTGGATTCAACCCAGATTAGCTACGCCATTGGATGTACGGACGAAGAGAACTGGATCGCGAGTGTACCCAGGAGAGAAACGCTCTCAACTCTTCTTACAATTTGAGATCATTTCTAATTTCTCGATCTTATTGGTCGTTGTTGTTGTTGGTTTTTGGTCTTCAAGCGATGAACCCTAATCCGACTAAGGTGAGTTCGTTATCTCCTTCAAGTGCATTCAGCTCATTCTTCCTCTGTTAGTATCATTAGCATGGGGCCCTGGTGCCGGTGTCAAAGTTTGGCGGTCATATGTGATAAACGGTTACACCTATCACGCAGTTGATTATGGACAGGACCGACCAACAATGAACAGCGGGTTGGTTATGTGTCCCAACCATCGGTTATGATAACTCGGAAACCAATTTTTTTGGTTACTTGCAAGAGATCCTCGAACTTCAAATGCCTTCTCCTACGAAAAAATTGACATGCGTTTTGTTCCGCTCCAAATGGGTCAATCCCACACGTGGTGTGAGAAAAAATTCAAAGTATAATATGATTGACGTCAACCACTCTCGCGTGTGTAGGAAAAATGAGCCTTTTATACTCGCTCAACAAGCAGCCCAGGTTTATTATGCAGAATACCCTTCAACCAAGCGGACACAGAATCCTTGGGTATGTGCATGTACTGTCCGTCCGAGCAAAATTGTATCACAAACTCAACACAAGGATCTGAATATGAATATTACTTTTAAGAATCTGAATATTGTAATAATTTCTGATTTTAATAAACAACTAACACAAATTTATTTATCAAATTCAAAAGATAAGTACAAAATACACAATTTTTTTTCACAACTAATTAACATTATTCATTTATCATAAGCAAACAAACAAAACAGAATTATTAATCAGCGTCAAAACTTTTAACAGGCCTAGCCCACAACTCGTTAATTTTCCTTTGAGCTTCTGCGTTTATCGGGTCCATATACTCCGTACATTCTTCTACACGACAAAGCATCTGACACAAGGTTTTTGCTTTTGACTTGCCGATTGAGTCTGATTCCTCATCTTTATCATCGCCAAAACTTTCAAGGGGTCTAGCCATCAACTCCCTGATTTTCTGCACTGCTTCAAAACTTTTAGGCTCCATAAACTGTGTAATTTGCTTAAGTCGTTGCATACCTCTACACATCGAATCCTAGTCAATTGGTTCTCGGTTAGCCATTTTATTTTCCACACAAATATTGGGCCGGGCATCACTTATTTATACTAGAAAAAGTCACGGATTTGTCACGGAACAGGCCGTGACAAATCGAATTTATTCCCCTGTCCACCGGCCTGCCCGAGGAGCTGACCGAATGGCTAAAAAGTAGGTAGTCACGGACCCGTCCGTGACTAATTCAAATTTTTGAATTAGTCACGGACGTAGTCATGGATCCGTTCGTGACTACCCCGGTCAAAGGCGGCCCTGACACCTCGTCTTCCACGTGTCTGACTTCGTTGATTACGAAGGCGTAGTCACAGACGGATCTGTGACTACATCCGTCACTAGCCGCTCATATATAAACAACACTTAGGTTTTTTTTTAAACTACGCTTCTCCCTTCTCGATGTACCTTCTCACTCTCCCTCATATCTCTCTCCCTTCTCCCTTCCTCTGCACTCCACCGCCACCCGCACCGCCGTCCCACCGCCGCCGCCCGCTTCTATCCGCCGTCCACCACCTCCGTCGTCCGCTGCTTTCCACCACCATCAAGGTTATGTTCTCAACTTCTTTTTTCGTTGTTTAATAATTAATTATAAATGTTTTAATTTTTAAAAATGCATGTTTTGTTGTTATTGTAATAAAAATGCATGCTCTATTTGTTATACCCGAATGTAGATGTATATACTCAATTACATACTTTAATTTTCAATATGCATGTTCTTTTTGTATATGTATACATGTTCTTGACCAAAAAAACACCAAAATACTTGTTTTTTATTCGAATTTGAATATCTATTTATGTTATAATTTTTTTCAAAATGTTAAGATGCATGTTCAAAATTATTTGTATATTAAATTTCGGTTTTTTGTGTATTAATACATGATTTGAATATTTGGTTTGCCTAATGCATGTAATTAGTCTTAAATCCACAACGATTATTAATATACTTGGTTATATATTGTTTTTGGTCAAGCATGATCTATTTTTTACACAATGCATGCCTAAATATTTTTTTGTGTATATGTTTAATATCCATGCCTAAGTTTTTCGTGTATATGTCTAATATGCATGCCTAAACATGATTTAGTTTTTTATTAAACCAAATGCATGAATATATGAATTATATATCTAAATTAGGATTATTATTTACTTACATTTTCGAAAATTAATTTAAAAATTTACTCCCTCATATTAAACTAATAGACAGTTTAATATGTCTCATATATAATTCCAAAATTAAACATTTACAATACATCATCCCCTCATGTTAAACTTGCAAAAAAGTTTAACATGTTCAATTCAAAACGAAAATATTTATTACGAAAATAATACCATTTAATAAACTGTTTTCCAAATAAAAACTTTATATTTAAATATAAACTGTTTAAAAATTTATTTTCCGAAATTAATGCTTTTTAATAAACAGTTTTCCGAAATTAATTTAAAATAAAATGAAAAACTAATTGCTGAAATTTATACTTTTTAATAAACAGTTTTCCAAAATTAATTTAAAATAAAATGTAAAAGCTGTTAGCCGAAAATATATAATTATGTAAATATATATTATAAGTTGCATATAAACTGTTTGATAATTATTTATTCAAAAATTGTTTTTTATAAAAAAAAAAACTATTAAACAGTTTTTCTAAAAATAAACTGTTTTATAACTATTTATTAATAAACTGTTTTTTTATAAAAATATAGATTTTAATAAGTTTAAAAAACAGTTTTAAATTAATTAATCTATAAACAGAGTTTAATAAGTTTAAAACAGTTTTATAAAACTGATTTTTATAACTTTAGACTGATTTTATAAAATGTATAAAACTGATTTTTATAGAAAGTATAAAATCTGATTTTATATAAAGTATAAAAACTGATTGTTATAAAACCGTTTTTACGCC